ATATTACATATAAAGGTTTCCATAATTCTAGATTTTAAGCCGAATAGGGGTTATTTTAGTAAAACTCCGAGGAAATATGTTCTCCAGCATACTTTAGTTTAGAGCCAAAAGTAAATATAATCTTCTAAAACCCTCCCAAGTCCAATATATTGATTTTCGGCTTTCCAACTGACTATATTGATCAATATGTCTGATATTTTATTGAAATTATGTATGTAATGTCGTTTAGTGGTGAACTAAAATGAAATCGGTCTAAACTCCATATCGCTAATATATTTAGTTAAGCCTCTGGTTGAATTTTTACTCATACACCCAATATATTATATTTCGTCTCATTGGTTGAGTTTATATAGCGTAAAGCAATCGCGAGAGTATAAAATCGTTGGTTACACTTGAACTTAGACCTTCCTTCTCTGTTATATAATTTTAAGGTAAAATATTAGTTTGCGTGCATATATTTTTGATATTACCGAGAACGCGCTGTATGTTTGTAACCATATTTTCTTATGTTATTTATTATTGAATCAATTAATAAATGTAACTGTTTTAAAAAATTGTTATAGTAGTTTTTATGACCCGTAGTAAGTCGTTACATTAAGAATTTATAAGACAGATATCATCTTCTCTTTTACTAACGTACTTTTCACCAAGTTTTCCCTTATCACGGAGAGAGGTAGAAGTTAAATACAAATAATAAGTATATAAAAGTATACTGAATACAACAAAAGCAAGTAAACGAAACAAGTAAGAGACAAATTCAGTGAATAATGAAAAAAAACACAAGAAATGAAATCAGATAATTTGTATAGATTCAATTGAATATGTGTACTATATATACATATTTATTAGTATGAGAGCGTGAGATAATTATGTGAAGGTATTTAATTGAGACGAGGCTTGCACAAACCAAAGGTGTCTTGGCATAGTGGCACAACTAATTACATGGGTCACTCGCATCTGAAATTTCCGTATAATGAAATTATGCGAAAAAGTGAAGACTTCAATTCCAATAAATTTTACTATTACCTGTGACTTAGGAAAGTGAAACGATATTTATAGCATCCAATCAAGTATTAAACTATTCACAATTAGTGAGACAAAGTTCAAAGTGAATATATGTACGTATCATTTGGATATGTACAGAATTGTAGGTACATAAAATTTTTTTCATAAAGTAAAAATAAGGAATGTCTGCATTAGCGAGATTCATAGTTGGTGTCACATCTTCAATCGCTCCAAGTGACGAAACCCCTTCCATTTCATCACAGCGGGAATTTAGTTTCAGCAGCATCACTGTCAACACTTCCAATTGTAATCCTACTGGTGCAGATACAGCTTGTAACACAGAGCTCAGTGATCAAATCGGCCACAAAGGTTCAAAACTGAATATCGATACGGAAGGAAGAAAAAGCTCATGCAGCCCAGCTTTACTTGACTTCAGCTTCGATAGCGGCATAGGTATGGGCGCTAGCAGCTTTACTGATAATGTTTCGGTAGTGGACGGAAAATTAACCTCTAAAACAGAAAATAATAAAACTCTTCAGAGTGCCAATGACATTCCTAGTACAGATATTGAAAGCGTCCATGGCAATGATGCTGTTGACTTTCACGGTAAACTTGCCAGTTTCATTAGCATCGGCACTGGCATCAGCAACAACTCTAAAGAACAAATGTGTTGGAAATTGAGGTACGAACGGCTGCAACAATGCCGTCTCATCCTATTCGCGTTGAATCGGCAGCAATCCCAATACCGACAGTTGCGCGAACGTCTCAGGTGAGTTACAGTTGATTCTTAATTGTATTTAAAGATCTGTATATTTTAGTATAGTATTTTTCAAGTATACAACTATTAAAATTTCCTCACTTTAAAAACTATGTACATAATCCTACTGTGTTTAGAATAACTCAATCTACATAACTCAATATGTTGTTGTTATAGTAGTATAGTATTTATTTATGTACCTGTACCTACAAGTATATATGTATATGTCAAACATGTTACATGAGCTTGCAAATACTTCTTTCGCTAATATGGTATGCTTTAAAATGTCTTTTTATGGTTTTGCTTATTGATTTTTTGTCTAGCTATACAATAGTAACATGTGATGGATTTTTGTTTGGCATTATTCCATTCCATCATTTTAAAATATGTATTCACACGAGTAAGTTATTTCGAGACCACTTTTTATCTCTTTTGTGTTTGACTAGCCTATATGCTCATTTTTTTCTTGAAGACTTAGAATTTCCTTTAACAGTGTAGGTTACTGTATTAGAAGATGATGAAAATGCTCAAAAGAAGTCTTTAATAATGCCCATATTTCATAAGAACGATAACGAATACAGAGCGGGTGACATCGGTAACTTTTGAAGTTCGGGACTGTTGATTATCAAAATCAAACCAATTAACCCCTTTAAAAGTAGTGGATTACTACTATAATAAATTAAACATAATATAATAATATGTATCTAAGAGTATATATATTCAGTTTTTATTATTACGAAAAATTAATTACTCAACTTCTCACTATTTAAAATATTTTTTGGGGCCTTAACTGACCTTAGGTTATATTCCGGTCGAAATCTTGTTACGGTTGAGATAAACGTTTATTAAATAAGCAAGCGACTGTCAAATTCAAATCCCGCGACTACCTTTTCAGTTTACACCTTTTTGTAGAAGGCCCATTATGGAATAGTACATTCTACTTATTAAAAGTATGTATGTAGGCTTTGTTTTACCTTTACTTTTCCCACCATTCAATGTAAATGTATTTCGAATAGTAAAAGTTTAAAGGGTTGAAAAGTCAGATCGACAATTTAAAACAGTTCGGTTTTTGCAGTTTAACGAAAATGTAAACTATTTATTGCGTTGAAAATATATGTTGTATAATCTATACATTAAGCTTATTTATTAGAAGAGTGTCATAATTGGAAAAATATAAAACGGAATAAAAGCGTACCAATAGATTATGATTTAAATTCATTCTTGTAAAGAAGAAAAGAAGTTCTTCGTTACGTATAATATAAAACATGTCGTTTTAATTGTTAACAAATTTATTACAACTTCTCAATAAAAAACAATTAAAATATATGGAAAAAAAATTTACTCGTCACTAAAGGCAACTCAGTATTATTAAATCTTTAACTTCATAGTTATAATTAAGAGCTTTCTGAATACAGGTAATCTTATTTGAAATAAAAGCTTTCGTTATCTTATCCAGTCCATTTGACTTTTTGAACAGCTTTTTACTCTTATCTACAGAATGTGTTGAACGTCGTTTATATTCTCTTTACGAGTATCTATTTTCAACCATTGGTTAACAAAATAACTGCTTATCAATATATACATAAATATGTATATATGAACATGTAGAAATGCAATCGGCATCTAAGGCATTCACATTAATGAAGTTGTGTTCGAGTTTATGTGACGTTCTATGCATAATTTATTAATATTGTTCAAAACACCGAATAAAGATAATCCAAATAAGAATAAGAAATTGATAAACATGAAAGTTTAAAGAAAAGCTTTTAAATTCAATGCTTAGTGAATGAAGGAGAGACGACTTGCTGAACTAGTTGAGAATCACGATACGTACGGTGAAGAACTCCTCCATATATTTTTGGAATTATTTTAAACTTACGTTAATAACAAATTCGCGGTAAGAAAGTTTTTTTTCGATGTCAATTAGTCTATTTAAAGTCAGAGGGCATTTCAAAAGTTGTATTAACGTAATAAGCCAATATTATTTCGAAAGACTATACATACTATATCCATACATATGTATGTATGCACTTATTCATATACACACATATATATGTACATACATACATGTATATACATTTAATAGATGTGTTCATGCGTAGAGGAGGGGAAGTGATAAGTGTGTGTGTGTGCTCAAATGTATTTTCAACGGTAAAATCAGCACGTTTAGTTTATTTTTCAACATGAGTAGTTATATAATAAAGAATTTTAACTAAAAATATAATACTACTCTATCCATCAATTAACAACGCATTTGCATGTTTAGTAACCGTTTAGAAAGTGAATTCAAACATACTTGAGTATGTACATATATTACCCTATCGTGTGAGAATAATTTGCTGATGATATACATACAAACATATATATATGTATATATTCACATGCATATCTACATAATTACCTAATAAGTAATGCAAACGAAGGTCGAAACTGTTTCAAATGGTTTATTATCTAAATTATGCAATTACGCTAATAATTCATTTTCCTATAACTCCTTGCTGTAATCAGTCAAATAAACATAAAACGTTCAACTTATAACATGAACATTTGAAACTACGTGGGAAATATCTCGAGATGTCTACAAAATCATCGGTCGTATAGCTGGGTTGCGTTTTGTAAACTTTAGAACGGATTCATATGTGGTTTATAATCATCATCATTGTCAAATTTTCCATTTTTGGGATTATCCCTTAATAAGTTGTTGATTATATGAATATTAAATTCAGTAGATTTTAGCCTTACTGTTACATATACATACATATATAAGATAAAAGGGATAACTATCCGAATATATTTTCACGTCTTATAAGACGGTGATTTTTAATGTTGTTTCCAAGTTAGCTGAGGTAACTTTAACTTTTTTGTAATTTTTACATATGTACATACATATATAAACATATGTATGGTATGTGTATATATGACCCTACATATGGTTATATTGTGATGTAGATGGTCATAGTATTATTGCCACATTGAAAAAATACTTTTGAAATGTACTGGGATATACATATTTGAAAAATTATCCTTTAATTCTATTATTACCAAATTTTAACGTTTTTGTATTTGTTCTACTGAATCTTCAAGCTTAATCCGAAATTAATTCACTGAACTACAATATTTTATTTTATGTAGGTCTTGTAAAAATGTGTCATCTATTTGATGCAACTGGGGTATAGATTGTGCATAGGTATTGGTAAAAGTGTCTATAAACCTTTAAATACTTATAATCAACACTTACATATTAGTATTCACACAGTGTTATTTTTTGGTACCACTATACAATAGTTTATTTATTTTTACAGCGCTGTGATTTAGTTAACATATTTCACGTACTCACTTTCAACTTGCAATAAATATAAGTACATAAGTATATTACTATACAAATATATCTATCACTTAAAAGAAGCAAATGAGATACGTCGATAAACTGGAGCAGTTTTGTTTAGACAGTTTATTAAATGTGTATTTCTATAGTATCATTTGAGTAACAAGATTGAGCAAATAAGTATTTACGATTATTTACTCTGAGCGGATAGCAGCAGAGCAAGCACATGGGTAATTCGTCAAACGATACACGGAGTAAATAAAAAGCAAAAAACAAAAAACAACAATAAACAATTCAAACAGTTTAGAGTTATTTTATTTTATTTATTTATTTATTTACTCAAATGTAAAAAAATATTGAAATCGATAAATTTAGGGTAAACCCCTGATTAAATTTTTTACCACTGTCTAATTTCTGATCTACTAAACTATGGCTGCGCGACACACGTGTTGTTCCGTTGAAGTTGCGTAATAAAAAACGTAAAGCGTTCCTGTTTGAAGTAAGGTCATAGATAAAGCTCAAACAATTCAAAGAAAAAAAAACTAGTTCCAATCGAATTCCGTACATATGTATGTATTTTATTGAAAAGCTCCTTAAAAATCTCCATTAATCAGAGGCAAAAATAGTCTTTAGTTGTTATGCATTAAAATGGTTAATGAGTTCACCTTTTTTAACTATTTATTAATAACATTTAACATACTATTATAATTTGGTTAGAAGTTTCAAAATAGATATATATTACAATTCAATTTTCAAAACACTCATAAACCAGAAATTTTAAAAAATCTATATATTACGTTTTAAACGAGTCATTGAAAAGTGGTACACAATCGACCACATAGCTGTCTTCGATTAGTCATTTCTCAGATTTCTTGTCAAAAAATTGAGATGTGAAAGCAATAACAAAGTTATCGAGTTGAATTGAAACAGGAGAGTATGCGGATATCTCATTAAAGTGGTATAACGTCAATCTCCACTTTTTAATATATAAGACTTAAAATCAATTATAATAATTTATAGAAAGTCACGCGAAAAAAGAATTTATCTACTAAGAAAGAATCCTAACACTATTGCGCATGTGTCAGAAGACATGTTAGCGCAGGGTTGCACCACAAGTGCTGCCCGTTTGTTTGAGTATCTAATATAGTTTGTTCGATTCGCTGGAGATTAACGTTTGGCGAATCGAAGACAGCTATTATCTGTATATACATATGTAAATGTGAAAGTATGTATGGTATGTTTATAGTATGTAACTTCTCTTGTCAACCCCTTTCTGTGTGTTTACATACGCATCCGAATAGTTTATCAAATGCAAGTCGCGGAAATTTCACCACACAACAAATGCAACAACCTGTTAGCAGGCATCAGCGCAGTTATCGGAGTCATTGGCGGAGTTTATTTACTAACGTCGGGCGCCAAGACGATAATTGAGTAAGTATAGATATGTACATGTATCTGTATATAACAAAATACATTTTTAACTGCTCCAGTAAGCTTCTTATCATCACTATTGTTCGATTAGAAATTTGAGTTATTTCTATTCAAAAAAATTCTTTCTATTTTGAAATGTTTTTGTCTTTTAACTTGAAAATTCTGTGAAGAATGCCATTCATTATCCATTACTTATGCGTTATTGTCCTATATTGAGCTTTTAAGCTATTGCATAGTTTCTATCGCGGACTTTGAGCGCGGGGACTGAATCAAGAAATTGCGTAACGGAAATGAACATAACACGATCACAAAGTATGCGCGAAATGTTTTCATACTTTTAGGCGTATTTTCGCATATCTCAAGCGGATCAATTCAATTGAAGAGACAGCAGGGTGATTCAAAAATAATAATATTTAAGATATAATTGTTTTAATGCAGATAAAACTATGGAATTTAATAAAAATTTAATTAATAAAAATAAATTATTCAATGTTCGGAGTCATAATATTAGTAACATTATTATTAAGCTATTGCATAGCTTTTATTGTGGGTTTGAGCGCGGCGACCGAATCAAGAAATTCCGTATCGAAAATAAACCTAACATGCGTAAAGTTTGCATATCTGTCTACATGCAACATATGTACATATACATACATATGTATATAATAATAAATATGTACATTAATTGATTCATGCGAAATTTTTATGCATGAGCATGCATATATATCGACGCAGATTTTGCGAGCCATAGAAAATATTTTAGAATTGTAAAATACTTTAGATCGACAAGAACTATGTTGCCATTTTTGTCACTTTTTTCTGTGTTTGCGGGTTTGCCACTTTTCCCTTCCAGAAGGAACATCTAAAAGTTTTTCAATGTATGATTTTTAGCTTTTATCATCGCCGCGAAAAGACGCTTCTAGGCACATGCATGTTCGGAGAGTACGCGTAAAATTTTTATATAAAGTGTTTTAAATATGAATAAACAAAGTGCATTTATTAATGAAGAAACTGATGAAAAAGTAGTGAAAGAAAATGAGTAAGTACTCTATATATTATACATACATACATTTTATTGATATCACAAATGCAGGCGAAATTCGATGATCAAACTCTTAATAGCGTTCTTTTTGTTCAAATTTTTTGAATGAATAACCGTAAAGTGGGGCTATTTGGCACAATTTTATGCAAGAATCTTATCTCGAATGTTTCCTATTTAAGTAGCAAATCCTTTTTAATTTTTAAGCAATTGCATAGTTAATGAAGAAATTCCGTAACGGAAATCCACCTAAGACGATCACAAAGTATGCGCAAAACGTTTGCACACTTTTAGGCGTATTTTCGCATATCTCAAGGGGAACAAATAAATTGAAGAGCAGGGTGATTCAAAAATAATATACAATTACAACTTTTTAATGGCAAATAAAAATATGAAATTTAATAAAAATTTAATTAATAACAAATAAATTATTCAATATTCGGAATCATAATATTAGTGACATTATTATTATTTTGGTAAATAGCTACCCTACCTTTTAGATCAGTATCTCGTTGAATTTAAGTATTTCAATCGGATTATCAATGGTAATAAATTTCAACTTATCTTGGCTGGCGATTTCAACATCAACTTCGTTGATAAATAATCAGACCGGTTGACAACGTTATATAGAAAACATTTATTAATTGAGAGCTAATACATTTATTCATTTGATTAAGTATTGAAAGTTCTAAAATCCAATGTTTTAATGTATTACAAAATCACAAAAAAGGGTTTAAATAGTTTCTGCATATGTTTAATGGATGCATGTATAATAATATTTAATATTAATAAATGTTGGGTACTTTAATTTAAATGCCCAAAAATTATTATTTTGTCCGATCTGGCTACAATGAAAAATGTCACAAAAAACGCTAATTTTGAGGCGCTCTCACACTAGAATAAGTTGGGCATCTCTTTATCCCTGGTTTCAATGATAAAAATTCCTGAATAACTTACATGTATTGTAAGATAATAAAAATATTTTAAACAATATTAACTTCTCATTTATTCAATAAAAAAAAAATGTGTTTACGTATCGGTAACCACGCTTAAAAAGTGTAACTTGAATTAATATCAAAGAAAAAATACTGCCTAAAAAATAAATAAATAATTATAATTGCATAAGTTGATAAAAAATGCTATGAAATAGCTTTGCCGCTTCTTTGTGTAACGAGAGTCTTCACAACCGGAGACCAGGCACCCAATTTTTGGAAATGTTCGATATGCATCGAAAAAATGCTTGCAATACTAATTGATGTCACAACAACAATAACACTCAAACTTACTATTTAAACTCTACTATTTAAATTTTCAACACACCCGTCTTTATATACTTCTAACTCCTTCTTAGTGAAGGTCTCCTTAAATGTAACATAATTTAGTGATAAGATTTTATTTTCATGTACTTATATAAATTTATGTTTGATTAACGTTGGGTATAGGTTGAATATAGATTAATTTATATGTTTCTTTAGTAAAACATGGAATCTTAACTAGTATTACAATATTTCCATTTTCAGGGACAATTACAACTTTGATTTTACTTAACTTTTCGAAGGTTATATTAAAATGTAAACTATCTTCATCCGTTATTATATCTCTACTTAGAAGATTATTTTGGCTTGTCATTAATATTTCTTTGATTCTAATAATATTAGTCTCAATGTACATTAGATTTTCTAGTAGTTTGTTATTCCAATTTTATTTTAATAAATTATCCAAATCTTTAGTATTAACTTTATTAATATTCTGAAATAATTCTTAATAATGTTGGTTTAGGTTTGCAGTAATGGTTTGAATTTCGTAATTAATTTCTCATTAATATTCTTCTGGAGGTTGATTTGCTCTATTGCATTATGTGTGTTTACTGCTAATTTTCCTTCTATTTCTTGACGATCTTCATCGTCCATTACTCCATAAATATACTTCAATCCTGTTCCGAAAAAGTTAAACAATCCTCTTTAATCTCTCTCTAATAGCAGTGATTGTAATGTAAATTACGATGAGGTGTAACATGTTGAACCTAAAAGATTTCAGGATTTGATGTTATCTTTATGTATTAATCTGTTCCTATTTTTGATTATTATTTTATTTCCTAAATCTTCTTGGACCACTTGTTTATTATACCTAGGTTTTAGCTTACTTTGATACTGGTTGTTCTTCTCAAATATTACTTCATTTTCATTAAATGTGCGAATATCTCTGTTTTTATTTCTATTAGTTAATGTAATCATTTGTATGTCTTTTAGCTTATTTGGCAAATTATCATGCTTAACTTTATTATAAAGAACTTCGAAAGGTTTTTTACCTGTTACTGAGTGTATTGTTTGATTATAGGATTGGACAGCCCTAATTATCACTTCTAAATCGTTCACTATTTCAAATTCATCCCTGATGCATCTTGATATTTCTATTATTGTAGAGTGTACTCTTTCTATTTGTCCAATAGTTGTTGAATGTTTAGGGTCGCAATATTTAATTTGTATTTTCATTCGCTCTGCAAAAGATTTGAATTACTTCTGGGAAACATTGTATTGCTTCTAATACAATACTTTATCCTGTAATTTAGTTTTATCGTCGATATGTTTAATTACTAAAAATTTGGAGAACGCATCTATTAGTGTTGAGAATTTTAAGTTTAGCGCAAAAAATATATCAATTTGAATATATCTCCCTCTTTGTTTGGAATTGGTGCCTTGCCAATTGGAATTTTTTTGGGGTGTCTGTCATATTTGTTTTTATTACAGATATCGCAATTTCTAACAAATTGTTTAAATTGTTTTTTCATTTCAGGCCAGTAATAATTCTAAAAAATTTGTTTAATATTTTCCTTATAGTTTCTATGTGCTTTCGTATGAGTTTGCCTCACAATCTTCTCTTGGTTATCCTCGTTAATTACATCAATTGCCACTGTATCTGTGTTAAAAATTTTGTTTGCTATTATGTTCCTTAAAATTTGCTTTACTTCATATAAGCCTTCCAAACTACAATGGATTCCTGTTAGCAAGTTTTTACTCAAATGATCTGTTATAATTACTTTTAAAAACTCTAAGTTTTAACGAAACGAAATAAAGCTTTTCGTTCTAAAATGATCATTATCCCTATTTAATATTATTTGTTGGGGAAATGAATTTAGGGTGTTATTGATTGTTTTAATGTGAAAAATATCTAAGCTTTCTACTGAATGTGCTGTATCTATTAAGTAGTTGTTTCTTTTTTCTAAATTATTATTGTTCAAAACTTGTCGAGAGAGGGCTTGTTGAATTAATTCATTCTTAAGTTTGCTTACGGCGTTTAATGCTTTTTCATCTAATTCGATGACAACTTTGTTCGGCTGATTTTGAGAAACCCTTCCATTTTCTCCTGCTAAATACTTTGTTAATGGCTTTGTTATGTGTGCATACATGTATACAAACTTCATATAATAACCTGTCATTCCTAAGAAACTTCTTAGTTGCCTTAGTGTCCTTGGTACAGGATAATTTTTTATTGTCTCGATTTTCTTTTCATCCATTTTAATTACATAATAAGCTATTTGGTATCCCAAAAATTCTACTCTGCGCTTGTTGTAATGTATTTATTATTTTAATTAGATGGTCATAGTGCTCGTCAGCGTTGCTAGAGTATACTATGATATCGTCTATATAGACGTGACAAAATTTTCCAACGTATTGGCGAAGGATATTATCCATAGCTCGTTGAAATAGCGAAGCAGCGTTACGCAAACCAAAAGGCATATGTGCTGCAATGATTTGCGCTATTATTTCGCTATTCTCTGTCATTTTATCACTTCTAATTTATTAAAATTTGTCACTTTACAATTTTTCAAAATGAAAATTTAAATTAAAACTTAACTTTAATATTAAAATTTTAATTACTTAACTTAAAATTACACATTTACTTTTTCTCCAGTGGTGTGTCTTGATGTCCAGATATTTTGATGTCCAGATGTCTTGATGTCAAGAGGTCCCTGCTCGGGCGCCAATTAGCTTTTATTTCACTTAACCGTTTTTTGTTGAGTTAAAAACGCACTTATTATTTTATGATGCACTTAACAGTTTTTTATTGAATTAAAAATGCACCGTTTCAGTTGAGCTCCAAATTGAGTCTGATTTTATTTTATATATATATTCTTCACTTAACTTACCGCTGTCGCCAAAGATGCTGCTGCGGATGTCTACGTGACTGTTTGATAAACAAATGCAGGTCTTCTTTTTAGCGTGTCAGCTATTTTGGTGAATACAGAATTTAATGCAGTTGCATTCCTTAACTTAACATAGAAATCTGAGAAGAATGTAATGCACCGAATTTGGTTGAAATCGGTTAAGCAGATCGCAGGATATGGGTTTTTACCTAAAAGTGGGCGGTGTCACGCCCACTGTCTAATTTTGAACGCGCTTCCTATAAAGTAATCTCATACCATCCCAGAGATAAAAAGTTATTGTCTCTGGCGTGTATAGTGCTTTATTTATCGAGCTTTCAGTAGTTTTTAACAGTACCGTTATATGGGGAGTGGGTGGGGTTTTCACCCATTTTCACACAGTCGATAGAGGCGCTAAAAACCTTTGTTCTTAGTAAATTTTGTTTTTATAGCTTTAGCGGTTTAGAAGAAAAGCAGGCGGGATCACGCCCACTTAAAAGCAAAAAAATTAAACTGCCCCTCCCTAGTATGATCCTGTATACCAAATAACAGTCTTAAATATTATTGTAGAGCTTAGTTTTGGCAATTTATTTGTTTTTTATCAATGGCGTTTTGTGGGCGTAGCAGTGGTCCGATTACGCCCATCTGAAATACCAACCGGTACCAAGAAACATGTGTACCAAGTTTCATAAAGATATCTTTATAGCAACAGGTTGAGAGAGTATAAAAACAGTGCCTTTTTGAAGATGTAACGGCGTCTCAACAATGGCTTGTGAATTATCAACGCTCCAAATGCTACAATTTTATTTATTAACGTACTCATTCAACCAAAAGTGAGCATCATCGCTGATTTTCGCAAAATGTTCTTGTGAAAATCGAGATTGGTGGCCATCTCGAATTGAACCCATTCGCCGAACATGCGACAAGATTGAAGGTCGTTCGGCTTTGATTCTTGCACGAGTTGGATTTTGTAATCCTTCAAACCAAAATCCTTCCGCAAAATCTGCCATAAAGTGAATGGACACTAAACGTGGTGCGAAACTTCCCTATGTGCGTGAGTCAAATAACTTAATATAATTCATAAAGAAACGAAACAAAATAGTCAGAATTTATCTCTTTTCTAAAGTTAGGATTTTTTTCCAGAAAAACAATAGCTAGAAAAAAGTTAACTTCAGCTACACCAAAGCTATAAAACCCTTCACAGGTGTATTATTTATAACATAAGGAGGTATTAAAACATCTTTATCTTGATCGATCAGTTTAAATGACAACTATATGCTACACTGGACCAATATGAACAATTTGTTCTAAGATTGTAGCATTGCCTTGGATAATAATCTATGCCAATTTCTGGAAAGTGCCTTGTCAAATAAAAAAGTTTTTCCAAAAAAGGACTTGAGTTTAATAGATTAGTTTGTATGGCAGCTATATCCCAAAGTAATCCGATATCGGCGACTTAGCCAAATGAGCAACTTCATGGGAGAAAAGGACTCAAGAAAACTGAGGCACCAGTTCACATATATACAAGCGAAAACGATTCAGATCCTCACGCTAAACATTTATTTACATACATATAAATTTAATAAGGTCTCTGACGTTTCCTTCTGGGTCTTACAAAGTCAGTCTAACCAACACAAATCTCTACCATATATTCATATATTTACGATATTAGTGCTCTGTGTAGGTAAGTACTGTTGTCCATAATTTTTATTACCAAATCACATAATACTAATTAAAATAATTTCGTTTACTTTTATTAAGATATCTTCTATTAAGATATATGAGTTATAAATTCAACCAAAGGGACGAAATTTAAAATATTTGGTATATGAAGAAAACGCACTGAAGCCGCATAAGGCGCAAAAGTCCACATATTCAAAATTTATTGTCCAAATTCGACTGTTTTTGAATGTAAGGTAGCATGGCTTGGAGTAACCATCGAGCCTTTTTTGATTTATGCACTGTGAAGTGAAGGAAAAAAATGAAAGGAAATAATTATATGGAAAGTAGGCTTCTAGTTAGATTTCGCCCATTTTCACCTTCTGACATGAGAATGTCATGATTATATGATGCACCAAATATGATTGAAATTGTCCAATTTTGCACCAGCTCCTATTCAAGCCGTCCGTACCATCTTATTATAATTCTTCTGACGTCTTTCTTTAGTGAGTTATCTCACGTTTAGTAATTTTCAACATAATCGTTATATAGAGGTGTGCGTGTTTATCACCCGATTTACCCCATTTTGTATAAGGAGGTACTAGAAGAACTTATCCCTAGCAAACTTGGTTAGGCATATCTGCTTTGTTATCTTGCAGATAGTTAATGACTTCCATTTGCTCTGAGCTATTGGTTCAAAATGCGTACAAAATTCTCTTTTGATCGTTCCCAGTGGGCATAGTATTAACTCCACCTCGAATTCGTCTAAAGAGGCTCCTAGCTTTGCCAACTCGTCTGCCTTTTGGTTGCCGAAATGTTCCTGTGACCGAGAACCTAAATTATTGCTACGCTTTATTTATTTGTTATTGAATGTTAATTTTCTAATTCAATTTGGAATCGATTTCAACCCCTAGGTATTTTGCCGCGACTAATAGAGAAATTGTTGTACCACTGAATGAGGGAAGATTAAATTGAGGTATTTTTGTTTTAATGGTGAAAAGCATCAGTTTCGTTTTATAAGGGCTGACACCTATTCCTTTGTTTTCGGTCCACAGGTGCAACCTTCGTAGTGCTCTTTCCATAATATTACTGATTTTCTGCATATGCTACTACTTTCACTCCTCCTGATCGCCCCTTTATGTAAGCTTGTTGTGCATTCTAAAGTATATCCTAGGATTGCTCATAAGTGTACTTGTATATCCATTAGATTTTTTATAACCTTTAGCATAAAGAAAGTGAGGGTTATTGGTGTAGAGTCTTTTGCGTTATCGTGTGTTCTTCTACGTGGTAGCTTCTGCATTATTATGAAATAATTCCATCCGAGCGCGCCGCTTTATATGGCAAGAAGCTGTTTATAGCTTATATAATCTTACTATGCTGCCTGATTGGTCTCTGCTGTATTTCCAAGTAGTTGAGGTTGTACTTCCGCTACAGTTTCCTAAAATGGAGTGCGTTTAATGAGTCTTTCTAGGAATTCTCCTGCAGAGGATGTCTATGTACCACCCGTCGTCATTAAATAGGAAATGTTGATATGCTCCTTGGACAATATTTTACTTAATCTGACGAATTCTTTGCAGTTTTTTATCGATGTACATAAAGACAGACTTGAGTCTGATTGTACTTTCATAACCACTTTTTTTGTATTGCTTCAAGATATCTGTGTAAGATTTCGAGATTTTGGTCTTATAACTACCATTGAAGGCTTTTCTCACCTTTGTTCACAGGTTCCTGAGGTCAAGGTTTCACCAACCGTAAACGGTGTCGATTGGTTGAAAGACGTGGTTAGAATCTTTTCAGACTTTTCCACCTCTTCATCTAATTCTTGAACATTATTGATTTTATTTTTATACATATTTGCTATTTTATATCCTTTTTGCTGCTATCTTGGTAAATTTAGGA